CACCACGGTGATCATGGGCACAAGCATCGTCTGAAGCCTGGGGTTGTAGGGCGGTTTAGGGTTTAGGGTTTGGGGTATTATACCCTAAACCCTAAACCCTAAATTTAGGCTTCAAGGTTTTAGGGGGCTCAAGGCTTACAGATAATAGGATTCAGGTTGCGCATTTTAGGGTTCAAGGTTGTAGGGGCTTAAGGCTTACAGCTATAGTAGGATTGTAGGGTTTAGGGCTCAATACTTAGGGGTTTAGGCTTAGAGATTCATGTAGGGTCGTCGACTCTCACAGTTCCACAAGGCAGTCAAGGCTGCACGATGACCCGCCCATCACGACGCAGTGCCATGACCATCACCCAAAGACCCACAAAAGTCACAACCATAATCAATGTTCTCGCGGTCTGAGGCTTGGGAGAGGCTTAGGCTTTTGGGCTTTGGGGGTTCAGGTCGGGAGTTTTGCAGGCACTGGTGGCTGAAGATGGCGGAACTACATGGTAAAGTAGACCCCATATGCCCGAAACCACACACCCGGAAGTCTTGAAGAAGGTCTAACTTGAAAACCGGGTAGGCTCCGTGATGCACCCGTCAGAAGGGCCTAACCCCGAAGCGCCCAATGGAAGGGCTTGAAGAATAAGGGGGCTGTAGGGTATAGGATACTCCTACCAATCATTCAATAAAGTGCTTGGACTCAGCAAACCCAAACTCTGAGCCCCGAGTTCAAGAACCCCTTACTTAAAGCATCATGGGACTTAGTAAGTAGGGCTATAACTAAGGTAACTATACTTATAACCCCAATTAGGGGACTTATAACTTTACTTACTAAGCCCCATGATCCTCCAAGTGATGTTCGCTCCCCAGGCGCATGTACCGCGAAAGCTCCCCAGGCGCATAGCACTGCAACGACACCATGTCGAGGTTCAGGCTGATGAACTCTGCAAGCTGCATGATGCCTCGAGAAGGGATTCTTGGAGGATCATGGGACTTAGTAGGTAAAGGTATAAGTCCCCTAATTGGGGTTATAAGTATAGTTACCTTAGTTATAACCCTACTTACTAAGTCCCCTGATCCTTGAAGTAGGGGAAGTGTGAGGAAAGGATGCCGATCAACGACAGGGGCAGGGAAACTTGTACTGTCAATCACGAACATAGCTCCTACGACTCCATCAAAGCGCCAATCTGCTTTCCCTAGCACCTGTAGAGTCGGAAGACGGCATCTGTTAGTACAAACTTTGAGCGCATCGAAGCTGACCATCGCTAGGTTTTATCCAGACTTCGTCGTCATCGAGGCGGTGCCGCCAGCGAAAGTAGTTGCCATAGTTGTTGCAGTAACGAACCTGGCTAGTAAGTAGTAGTCGAAGTCGTGGTCGCCGTAGTCGTCGTCATCGTCGTAGCAGTAGCAGTAGCAGTAGCAGTAGTAGTAGTAGCAGTAGTAGTAGTAGTAGTAGTAGTAGTAGTATCAGTAGTAGTAGCAGTAGCAGTAGCAGTAGTAGTAGTAGTAGTAGCAGCAGTAGTACTCGCCGTCGTAGTAGTAGTAGTAGTAGCAGCAGAACTACTACTACTACTACTACTACTACTATTACTACTACTA